CTGTGGGCGGGCGCATTTAGAAACCACGTGTGAACGTGGCATTTTGGATCGGCGTGAGCCTTTTTGGAACCGTTTTTTTCATAAAATTAAGTCTCAACTTTACGTCTCTATGACCTTTCCGGGTTCCTGTGACATCTCCCCTAAGCCTAGAGTTTTCCCCAAAAATAAACGCCGCTACTGCTGCGTGAAAGACTGCCACGGTCGTGCAGGTGACTCAAGCGTCAGACTTTACCGCTTCCCTTTAAGACCTTGGGAAGCGACACGGCGACAAAGTGGATTACTGGAGTGCGATGCATCAAGTAAGTGAATTTTACATTAATTGTTGAAGTGAACGAAAATAGATGTGCAGGCTTGGAAAGTGGTCTGACAGACTCCTTTTGCAAAATAACGTATTTATACTAGTTTTTTTTACGAGTCTCTGAGACAACCATTTAGAGAAATACAGTAGGAAAAATTGGGCCGATTGTTGCTTCGCTTTGACGTCGAGAATCAGGCGATCAGGTCTTCAAGCGAGATGCCCTTCGACCTGTTCCCGGCACTCGTAGTTGTAGGCGTGCATTTGGTTGCGACCGCGCGCGCCGTTCGGCGCGCGCGGTTGCAACCAAAAGCTATTAAGCATGCAAGTTCTTAAATAGTGGATTTTCGTAGAACAAATTTTTGTTTGTTTCGGCTACCAAATTTAATGCTGTGTCTGGTAACAAATGTGACGGCGTGCGGAAAACAGGATGCTCACTTTTTTCCTGGAAAAAGTTCATGCGAAGCTTAAATATCCTTCTCATATCCTGTCGCCAGACTTGGGCACTGTTCTCTAGCACGGAGAGTTTGGTTCTAATTACCCACATTTTATTCTAGTGTCGTGGGGGCGCCGGGAGAAGAAGAGGACGGTCGAGCGAGGCGCGAGCGGGGGCCAGCCGGCGAGGAAAGAGGAAGAGCGTGCTGCACGAGGCTGGGGCCGGGCAGGAACGATAGAGCCGTTCTGGCTGGTCCGGTCCGGCCCATGTCGGTCCCAGGAGCGTTCCACCAGCGAGCTTCGGATCAGGACCGGCGGAAACGGCGAGCCTGGCCTTATCGGCCTAGTCCATGACGGCCCAGGAGTGGTTCTGCAGCGAAACTCTAGCTGTGATAGCCCGGAACAGCTAGCGTACGCAGTGCGTGGGAAGGGCGATCCGCAGGCGTGGACACGGACTCCGACTGCCAGCTATGAACGACGGGCGACAACTAGGGTCGGCGGGTCCGGACTGCCGGCTCTCGAAGACGGGCAAGCGGGAAGTACAGTAAACCTATTCGCTGCCTTCTCGTTGCGTTGTGTCACTTCCTGGGAGACGAGCGAATCACAGACCGATCGGGCGGCGATTATTATAGAGCGACGCCGCAAGCGCTCGAAGACAGTTCAAACAGGTGTCCAAATGACAGCTTCAGATTATGCTCTCAACACTTGGACCTATCAAGGCTCCCGATGGTCTTAAAAAACCGCATAAAATAAAAAGGGACATGGCGCGCACGTGCACACGGGGACTGCTGAAATCGGGTTCGCCGCCGCTCGCCACGGCCCGACGGGCAGACTAGCCACCCCTCCGCTTGTGGCGCCGAATGCAGCACTCTCGTGGCGCCGCCTGGCCATTGCCGGCTGGCTGTCCTGCACTTGCGCCATCTTGCCCCAAACAACACTTAAAAGCATGATATCGCACAATGTGAAAGACCTCACTCGAAGCTTCGATCGATCATGACACCGCCTTTGTCGCACTTCCTGAGTGATGACTCATTGCGAAAGGTACGTTGAGCTGCGCGGAGAAATGAAATTCGGGGTGCTGATGAGGATCATGCGAGACATTTAATTTTATTGCAGCTGTGCGAACGTTATAGTTGACGCAAGCGTAAAATTCTGTGCCCACTGACACCAACTTGACAACAGGAACCGAAATACACACGAACCTTTCTATGCCACAGAGAGAGGAGCGCTAGCCGTTTGGAGCGCTTCCCCAACTCCGACGTTACCGCGCCGCCTCGAGGCGCCGTCAGTCCGTTGGCGTCTCGCAGTCTGCCGTGAAGCGAAGAGCGAACGCCGAGGAGAGACGAAAGCGACCCCCCCCCCCCCCCCCCTTCCTCATACCCCCTCTGCCCTCTACAGCTGGTTGAGACATTGCGGAGGGCGCTGGCAAGGAGGAGCCTGCAAGAAAAAGCACCCCCCCCCCCCCCCTCCTCCGCCCTCCACAGGAACCGGCGCGTTCACATGGCGAAGGAGCAGGCGAGCGACACCCAAACCAACTGTGAAGGCCCGAACCCCACGACCCCACGCAGTACTTGCGAAGCGAGAGTCTCCTCGCCCACTAAGACGGCCCGGGAGCTCACGTGACCAACCCAGCTAAGAATATACCAGCGCTCACCGGGACTCATCCTGGCCATGGTCCTCAGGCTCACGCCATCACGCAGACTAATGCGATCACCGGACTCATATCCACCCAAAGACTCACGTCTTGATTCAGGCTCATGCTCATGAGCCTCGAAACTCACAATCACACTCAAGAGACCTCAAAACTCACACTCATGAGTACTTCACTTAGCGCTCAAGCTCACACTCACACTCAAGAGTTTTAAGAACTAACAATCACACTCACGGTCAAACTCACGTTCATGAGTTCGCAGGGCTCACACTCGCACTCCCACTCATTAGTTCTCAGAACTCGCGATCACACTCGCGATCAGACTCACGCTCATCAGTTCTCAGGACTCACGCTCACACTCACACTCATAAGTACACGTACCTCACGATCACACTCACACTCACAATCACAATTTTTCGAGACTCGCGGCCTCACTCACGATCACCTCAAATCTGATGGTGAGCGTGAGTGATCGTGAGTGATCGCACTCATGAGTGAGAATGCCGAGGTATGGTCGCAGGTGGTGTAGTGCTTAGAATCAGAGTTTTTTCGCGCGCTTCCGACTCGGGATACACAGGGGGAATAAACAGAACAAAGGATTGCAAGGCCGACCAGGCTGAACGCCCTCATTGTTGCCAATCGAGTCGATAAAAACCGAAACGAAGAGAAAATAAAAAGTACTTTGGCGCACGTTTTGCGATTTGGCGCATAATGGCGCGAGGTATTGGCTGTGGCGCAGTTTCTGCAACATGGCGCAGGATGGCGCAGACACATACGTCTGGCGCAAAAAGGCGCAAATGGCGCAGCCGTTCCACCCCGGCTTTTGTAATAAAATAGAAAGAATGCAAAAGGAACACAGAACTTTCTTTTTAGAAATTTGACTCTGGTGAGAGTAAGTTCCATTCACTAGGGATAGTGAAAAAATAAGTGAAAAATAAATCGTAGTGCAACACTTCAGCTGGAATAAAGCATTGCTCCCCTCCCCCTTTTACACTTGGTACTTTATTTAGCCCGTAAATATAATTTCTGTAAATCAGCAAAAACGAATATTGCGAACGTCTACACTTGTGATTCAAACGTGACATTGCTCTTTAGCGGCATCGGAACCAGATTTGAGTCAGTTTGATGCCCTTTCGATCGACCACTTCACAGAAGTTACCTTGACTACGGTTCTTCAACTATAGACCCGCGTCTTTTATCTTTCTCGCCATAGCTTCGGAGGCCAACCTACAATCAACACCGAGAAAGGTAGACCAGTAATAGTGCTGAGTGAAAATTCCAAGCCCATTGCGCCAACCCAGGCGCTCCCCCATGTCAGCCGCTGCTCCTAGCACTCCGGTGCAAAGCGGTGTAGCTCGACGCGTGAGCTCTACTGAGAGGCAGTGAAAGTTGACGCGAGTGGCCCAAGTGCCACGACGTCAGAAAATTTTCCGACGTCAGAAAATTCAGATGACATCGGCGATCAACCGGCCAGCACGGTTGACAAGAAATTTTCATTTCACCTTACAGTGCCACTATGGTGGATTTTGAGATTGTTGTTTTATGCGCGAACTCAATCTACGTTCCCTAAGCATCCTATGAAACCTAAAATTACAATCACGCGTGACCTTTTTCCAAAACCGTGACACGCCCCTCTTTCCGAGATATCTCAGAAAATAGGACATGTCGCAGTGTTTGGTCGCGTTTTGGAGGGCGAAAAAGACGACGTACGATTGTAAATTTCAGTTTTATAGCATGCTTACGGTGCGTAGATTGAGTTTGCGCCATAAACCTTTAGTGCCCCTCAAGCACAGGTGATGCTACGAGCCAATAGGCCAAACAAACAGCGTCAAAGTGCAACATCATGACATTTGTTTATCTTCTTGTATGTACTTTCATCGGCTAGACCAGGGGTCACCAAACGTTCTGGCCAGGGGGCCATTTACTTTGAATATTGAAAGACAACATTCAAAGAAAATGTCGAAGAAACCAAAAAAAAAACAAGTTAATAAAAACAAACAAGCAAATAGCAAACAGCTATTTGCTTTTATACCACTATATTGTGAGATTATAAGGTGTGAGACACAAATGCACAAACCCAGTAAACACCCTAAAAACAAAAAAAAACAAAAAATTAATAACACAAGTGCACTTGAAGTTAAGAAATTATTGCTTCAGGATAATGTTTTTGACAGCAATGGGAGTAGGGGCAAGATATAAAGTGGTAATTAACAAACTACGTAAAACCCACTAGGTAATTAACTTTTCAAATGTTTCCCTTTGCTAGAACTATCCAAAGCAAAGATTTATTGCCCATCATCAAAATAGCGCTGGTAATGTGACAAGCTGGTGTCAAAGCAGCTAGAATTTTAATAAAAGCTAAATCTACTTTACACTGTTCAGTAGTAAATTTAAGCTGTGAGGAGACTGCAATACCAAAACTAAGACGCTGTCAATAACATCAACCCAAAGGAATCATTTCTCTATTCCAAATGCCTTTTTTTGCTTTAAATAATCTTCACTTCTGGAGTGAACACCCTATATGATACTATTGTTTTATTAGAGCCAACCTACACACTGAAACTACAAGTCCTAGCGTACCGAATTGTTACAAACACAAAAATGCCCATGCAAGCTTACCTTTAGCACTCTTGCAAACCTATCAAGACAGTTACCAACTGCAATGTCGATAGTTTCTCCAAATATCCTGTACCTCTTCTCGCTGTATGCAATCACCTAGATTCAAAATCGACAATCATCATACATTTGCTTCAAATAGAGTTCAGAGTTGTCAAGAAAAGACCAAAAGCCCACCTGGGTGTTTCCTCCACTGACATAAAGAACAGTCGGATTGTCGGCCCCCGTGATGAGTCTCCCCATTTCAATGTCTTTGGAGAAAGTCAAAGGCAATTCAGGTGGAGCGTGACGGAGCCGCAGCCGATGGAAAGAGCTTCCGATACTTTTTTTTTATTCTGTAAAATATGCTTCTACCTACTGCCAGTATTAAGTAAGGAGCCTCCTATGCAACCAGCCATTTGCATGCTTGGTCAGCGCTGCACCTATTATGGTAACCCGTCGTTTTAAAATAAAAACTCCCGCAAATATTGCATACTTTATGCTAAAGGATTTCACATTAAAAATACTGTGACTATAAAAGCAATATGTCCCTCGTTAGTCTAGCTCAAAATATAATACTGCTAATTAGACCATGTATGTACTTTTTTGTTATTAAAGGTTGCTGCTACAGTGCTGCAAGTTTCAGCAGATGTCTATATTTTGTACTCCCTAAATTTTTGAAACAAAGATTTGCACGTCTGTTTTTGTCCCCGCACTTTGTGCGACCCTAAACAAAAAGTGAAAAGAACAGCTGCGTGCTGCTTTTTTCTGATCTTTCCCACTGCGGTAGAGAGAGAGGAAAAAACCTGAGCAATTGATTGAAACATACGCAAAGTGCACTCAAGGATACGTCCAATGCAGTGGTTGACACCTACGATGGGTTTGTTCCAAAGCTGTGCCACTGTTCTTGCTACCACAGCTACAGACACCAAGGGAGCTCCCATGCCTGGACCTGGAGGCACAAAAGAGAATTTCCATTTATGCACCACCACCGAACCTACCCACCAATGCGGTTTTGTGACTGTAGTCACTGACAGGATGAGAACAGCAGGGAACAGATGCTGAAGCGTTGTCGAAGGTAGGAAGCTCATGCTGGAGGCAGGACTAGTGAAGGACCTCCCTACCATTCTAATCCTGCTAGTGACAATAGTACACTATTTGATTATTTGTCCTGGTTGGTTTTTGTGGTATTTTTTCTAACAATTCCACATGATAATTTTTTTTTTTCGATATCTAGTGTCTGCTAAAAATATAATTCTGTTATGTACACATGGGCGGATCCAGAACTTTGTTTTGGGGGGGAATTTGTAAGGATACTATTCTCCCATTCTTTCGTGTGCACCCATGTCAAATTGCCCTCCGAGAAGGGGGGAGGTCGACTTTGTTTGGGGGAGGGGGGGGGGGCGGCCACCCCCATCGCCCCCCCCCTTGGATCTGCCCCTGTATGTACACCACAATTAGTATGAAGCTGAAAATGACCGAACGCCTACTGGCAAAAATATTCTATAGACAATTAGAAGCATGGCTCCTTGCCGGTGACCCATGTGTGCGAGCATGTGCAACATGCACGTAGCTTTGGCAACCTTGCAGTTTCACATACTTGCCCACATGAGAAAAAATATGGTGGCAACCAGACGCACTGCATGCAATTATCCATAGGGGGCATTCCCTGGCGCCCATAATTGAGTGCATAGCTGCTCAGCACATGCTGACAGCAAGCTTCCACAGAGCTTTTGCAAGGTGCATTTCTCACCATCAAGATTGGCTGGTCTTGGGAACCTACAAGTGTGAGCTCGTTCTGAGCAGGGCCGTAACCAGGGGGGGGGATAGGGGGTTCTGACCCCCCCCGAAATTTTTTTCTGGGTACGGCCCTGGTCGGTGCACTTGCAGCCAGCCGATTTTAATCTCCACCTCTGCGCACGCGCAGTGGCGCCGGTTGGCTACCGGATACCAAACCGGGACCAGTTCTCCGGTTTGCTGCAACTCTCCATTATATACCACCGATGCACATGATTCATAGGCGAAAATAAGACAATAGACACTTTCAAAATGGCCGCCGTTGCCCCGAAAACCCCCCCCCCCCCCCCCCCCCCCCCGAAATTTTTTTCTGGGTACGGCCCTGGTTTTGAGCATGCTTAGTGAACTGTGCACTCAAGTATGGTGCCTAGTGAATATCCCCTACTGGCAGTGTGTGCGAACTACAGGGGGAAATTCCCTAGCTATCATCAATATTGTTTGTGACATCACAGGTAGGACAGAGTGGGACAGCCTGCGCAGATCTTGGATCCCTCGGCTCATCGGCTTGCTTCATGCGCTTTTTGGGTAACCCGTGGGAAAGCCTGTTTCACACATTGTGTTTATTTGGTGAAGTGATATTTGTAGTAGGACATTTTACCAAAGCTTGAAACCGTGAAATCGTGCTAACAAACACTTTTGGTGCTGAGCTGTCGAAGCGCTGGAATGGCGGTGTGCTGTTCTCTTTCCAATACAAAAAGCTGGATTTGTTGTTGTCGCTTACGGTTTTAATGGTGCAAGAGCATCAACGGCCATACTGCGCCAAACAAGGTAAGTCAATAAAAAAGGGTGAGTAGAATTAAACTATGGGGGAATAGTTCTATAGTTTGTTTAAAAATCTGGTATTTTCAAGGAAATCAAAAAGACGTTTAAATTAGATCAGTGGTCGCTCATCAAGTAGCAAGGCAGGATCAAATGGAATGTGATACTTGAAAATATCAGGAAAAAAGAATTTGTGCTGCTGCTGAAGACCAGGACAAAGAAATAAAATATGAAGAACAGTCAAAGGTTCACCACAGCACTCACAGGATGGAGGTTCTTCATCAGTAAGCAGGTAGCTATGAGTAAGGTAGGTGTGGCCGATTCTCAGGCGGCATAGGAGGACCTCGTGGAATCTATTTTTATTGTAAGCATCCCACTCGGACTGCCACGATTGCAAGACTGCAGGTCTTTAGGCATTTCTAGGTCTTGGTGGGGGATGCGGACATATGACACGTAAAGATTTTGCGAAGAGACGGCCAGTTTATCTGCAGCCTCGTTGCATGCAATGCCCACATGGCTACGAATCCAGCAAAACCTAATGTCGTGCCCATCCTGTAGGCCCTGCTGCACCTTAACACGCACAGTTAGGGTCAGCCGATTCCTTGTTGATAAAACAGAACATACAGCCCTAAAAACACTCTGGGAATCTACAAAGATAATGGCTTTCTTTATTTTACTCTAAACTATATAGTCAAGCGCCATCATGACCCCATATAGCTCGGCAGTAGAAGTACTGGCAAGAGTGTTCAGAGGAGCAACTGGAAAAACGAGAAGAGTATACAGCCGCACCAACATACATAGACGACTTTGCACCATCAGTGTAAAAATGATTATAATCTTTGTATTTTTCCTCTAATGCAAAGAATTCCCGCTGCAAAATTAAAGGTGAGACTCTTTGCCTCCTGAATTTTATGAAGCACCAGTCACAAAAGATGGGTTTGACGTTCCATGGGGCAGTATGGTATGAACTATCCAAGAGGTTAAAATTATGAGTCAGACTGAAGGAGGAGCGAAGACTCTCGACACAAAGACTCAAAGGCCGCACAACAGTTGGCCTATGATTGAAGAGGCAAGAAAACCTAGAGTTTTGAATACAACTATAAGTAGGGGAGCTGGGGTCCGACAAGATTTTGTAAGCATAGGTGAGGCTAAGCAGCTGACACCTTTTTTTCAAGTGACATTTCATGACAGTCAACATACAAGCTAAGCACAAGGGAGGTTCGAAAAGCACCAGATGCCAAACGGAGCCCAAGGTGATGTACTGGATTGAGCATTTTTAAGGCAGATGGTCTCGCGGGGGCGTAGACAATTGAACCATAGTCAAGGCGGGATCAAATGAGAGAAGAATATAGACGAAGGCGACATTTCTTATCCGAGCCCCATGACTTGTGCAAAAGGACTTTGAGTATGTTTGATGCCTGCAGAGTTTTTGCTTGAGCTGTTTGAGATGTGGAACAAAAGTAAATTTACGGTCGAAAGTAACTCCCAGAAATTTATGCTCCATTTTCACAGCAATGTTGTTTCTATTTAAAAAAAGAGTAGGATCTAAACAGAGGTCACGCCTTAAAGAAAATGGAATACAAACAGTTTTCTCCGGAGAGAACCTAAAACCATTCTCATCAGCCCATGTAGTCACTTTATTTATGGCCGGTTGTAACTGTCGCTCACAGCTATACATATTACATGACGCTACAGATATCTGAATGTCATTGACATATAGCGAGCAAGATACTGAAGGAGGAATGACTTTACTAAGAGTTAATTTTTATTGCAAAGAGTGTGATGCTTAGAGCTCCACCTTGAGGAACACCATTCTCTTGAACGAAACAGTCTGATTAAGTTTCGCAATCGAACTCGAAAAGTGCATTTACACAAAAAGCTCTTTATGCACTGAAGCATTCTACCGCGTCGCACAAGATGCCATACCTCCAAGTGGTATCATAGGCCTTGTCCAAATCAAAGAAAACAGATACACAATGCTGCCTGTTGACGAATGCTTCACGCACAAAGGTCTCCAGCCGCACTAACTGATCTGTTGTAGAGCGTTCAGGCCGACAGCCACACTGATTGATATCCAAGATATTATGTTGCTCGACAAAATAAATAAGACGCCCGTTAATTAATCTTACAAAGATTTTCCCCAGACAACTTGACGATGCTATTGGTCTGTAACTTCCAGGGAGGGAAGGGTCCTTGCACAAAAAGCTGGGTGATGAAAATAGAATATCCAGCACTTTACCCACTACAAGATCTCCCACAGAGAATAGGGTGCATTTTTTTATTATAATTCAGACATAATAAAACTAAGAAAAGAATGTTTCATCAAATTGAAAATAGGAAAGCCTTTCGAGAACCTCTCGCGTGTGTAGTAAACATTTAGGTGAAAACGACTTTGTGTATCCTGTTGGTTCCAATGTGTTTTGTGAGTGCTAGTCTCTTATTAGTTCCAAGTTCATTCGTTTTTAGAAATTTGTGAACCAGTAAACAAACATTTACTCAAATTAACTGAAAGGAAGGAGCAATGACTGGCTTCCAGAGTCGTTTCAATTAAATCCCTGCTTATTCACCCGGTCGACGCAAAACGTGCGAGACCCCCCCTCGTGATCGAAGTCCTGATTCTAGCAAGTCGGTGACACTTCATCGTCCCAAAAAATTAGGGTTACACCTGCTACGAATTGCTCTTGTTTTATGTTTAATTTTGCAGACCAACATGCGCGTAATCTATGATGCGCTTCTCAGTAAGCGATTTCAAATTTGTAAACGATTCATAGTGAAAATTGGATAGAGAAAATTAATCAATTCTCTAAATTTGCCGGGCCATGTTGAGAATTCACGAATTTATTAAAATTTCTGCTTTTCTTTCAAACAGAAGTCATGATGCGAAAAACTTATTCTTTCCACGTATTCAATGCAGGAGGTACTAAGCGTCAGTTGCCGACGAGCATGTGCTGTTCAGGAACTTTCCAGTCACTTAAATAGGAGCATCAGTATCGGCAAGCTCAATGTAGCTAAAACAAGTGTGTGACGCTTTGCAACACAACTGTGTGTGCGTGCACAGCTAAGACAGGACGTCATTTACTCCGGTGAATGCAAAACCTTTTTTCAACGGCAGCCTTCACAGATCCGAAAAACCAAGAATCAGAGAGACTGTAAATACCCCTGATGCATGCTGCACAAGCTGTAATGTGAAGCTCCAAACTTGTTTTTGAACACTTTGAAGTTTTTTAATATGAAAAGCAACTTTGACGCACTGTTATTCATTAAAAAGATCACTAAAAAAAAACATAACGTTTTTTTAATAAATAAATAGTTTTTAATCAGCATAGATGCAAACTAACATAGCAACTCCGTGTTTTGACATAGCGCATCGTCTGCTCGCATCCTATCTGTACCGTC